GCTGCCAATCTATGCATCCTTTGGCTTACATTGTCCAGGCAACCTGGGCTGGAGAAGGGACTCATTCATCCATCCTGGTATCAGAATCGAGACAGCTGGCAGAGGCCAGGGTGGCTGGCTCCCCGCAGGCTATAGGCTCCCAGCCCGTCCTGAGGGCCCTTTCCTCCAGCCCTGCGTGTGTTCTTACTCAGCCCTGGCACCTGGTTTGGAGCCACTCACCTGGGAAAACCTGACTGACCGATTTAAAACCCCAGGCCGTAGCTGCCTTTTGAGGAGCTCCCATTCCACTTAAGGGGACCAACTAAGACTCATAACCTCACTTCTTAGTGCTGAGCACTTGCTGTGTCCCAAGCGCTGTCCTAAAGCCTTAGGCAGTAACTAAGTCTCCTCTGCCTAACACTGTTACCACTGAGTGGGCCAAAAATAGTCCAGGTTCTTGTGCATAAGAATCATCAAGCAGGGGCTGGGGTTTTAGCTCTGCCGCGTAAGTGCCTGCTTGGCAAACTTGAGGTCATGAGTTCAATCCCCAGCATAACAACAACAACAAAAAAGAATCGTCAAGCAAATACTTTGCTACCTTTACTGAAGATCCTGGAGGCAGCAACAGAAACAGGCAGAGGGCAAGAGGGAAAGAGGAGGAGGAAGAGGAGCCCACAGTTGTAGGCAAAGCTGCCACTGGCGATGGTGTCAACAGTGTTCCAGCAGGCTCCTTTGGGCTGGTGCGTGCGCTGGCTGCGGAGAGGAAGGGGAACCCTCACCAACTCAGGCTTCTACTACCTAAAAGGTTGGACCCCTCCAGGTGCCTTCTACTGAGGCCAGACACACCGGTGCCTCTATTTTGCATCTCTCTAGTGTTGATGGTCTGCTGCCTCACAGGAACCACAACCTCCTGAGCTCAAATGGGGATAATCGCTAGAGGGCTGCTGTGCCCACAGTTGAATGAAGGGAAGGGGTGGCTCCCTCAACCTCCCTTTACTGATTTGCTAAGTGTACATTTTTTTTTCTTGGTATCAGGAATTAAACTCATGACTTTGCACTTGCCAGGCAGGCACTGTGCCACTGAGCTATATCCCTGGTCTTGTAACTGTACTAATATAGACAGAGTCTTACTCTGAAGCCTTGAACTCACAGCAACCCTCCTGCTTCAGCCTCCTGGGTGGTAAGATTATGGTTTACCAACTCATTCAATATAACGCTCAGAAACTATCTTTTTGACACAGAGTTTCACACAGTAGTTCAGGCTGGTCTTTATTCCCTTTATAACCCAGGCTGGCCTCAAACTCACAGTGATCCTCCTGCCTCAGTCTTCCAAGTGCCGGGATCACAGGTGTGCTCCATTATACCTAGCCTCAAACTTTGATGTAGATATTATTTTCACTTACAGATGAGGTTAACAACTTACCAAAGGTTATATATTGACAGTACCAACAACACACCTAACTGGTTTTAACCTCTAGGTCAAATTGTCTTTTCACATAAGACACATTCAGCAAAATACAAGCACATTTATTGAGGAACTGCTGTGTGCATAACACTGGAGAAGATGAGGGCAGAGGTGCGTGAGTCCAGTTGAACTATTGGGGAGTTGAAAAAGGCTTCTTGCCAGGTGCATACCTGTAATACCAGCACTTGGGAGGCTGAGGCAGGAGGACTGCCAAGAGTTCAAGGCCAATTTGGGCTACATAGTGAGTTAAGGGTTTTTGAACAGGCATCTCTGAGAACCTGAAGAATGTGCAAGATTCCAACAGATAGTGGGTGGGAAACAGGTGTCCTTATCAGAGCTGAGGAAGGGCAGACACAGTGAATGCTCAACAGCAGGACAGGAAGCAGCAGGGGTTCCTGGAGGGTAGGCTCCTCCAGGCAGCTACAAAATATTAGGCTCAAAAGCTCAGTGGCGGCCACGTGGAGGATCTGGGAAGCCACTGAAACAGCCAAGTCTAAGTCATTAAAAGCCTTGCCCACTGGGCAGCATGGGTGGCTGCAGGAACCCTGGAATGCTAGAGCTTTCAGCTTCCCTGCAGCCTGGAAACTGGGTGCAGCACAGCCAGGTTTCCAGAACTGAGTCCCTAAGGCATTTGCTGGAGCTCACAGCCTACAGAATTCAGTTCTTAAAGCCAGATGGCCAGGTCGTTCTCAGTACAGATGCCGCTGTCCTGTGCTTTCTTCTGGGAACTCCCCCATTCCCAAAATGAACAACAGGAGGTTCAGATAGAACCCAGAACCAGAGCTCTCAAGATACTTCCTACCTCTGGGGCACACTTAGCTTAGAGCTGAAAATGAGGGCTACAGCTAGGTAGTGGACAGGGGTGCCTGCTTTGGACCCTGAATGCTCTAGGAGGGAGCCGGGCTGATGGCAGGAATTCTGCCCTGACCATGGGCATTGCATAGTCAGTGCCCTCATCTTCTGCCCAGAAATGTTCCTACTGAGGCCAGAAGTGGCTGGAGGAAAGAGCCAGGAGACATAGGTGAGGAGGGCATCTCTGTATAAACCCAGGGGCTTCCTGGCCCAAAGGAGACCCTCAAAGTAGGAGCTTAGGAATTAAGGCTCCCTGAAAGCCTCCCACTTGGTGTTATGTTTGGGAAGGCTGAGAAGAGAAGAAAGATTTCCCTGAAATACACTTTCATTTTCTGAAGAGTGAAACTGAGGGTCCCAGGCCAGGGACAGCCAAACCAGCCAGCAGCTTGGGACCACTCTACCCCTGCCCTGCTGAGTCTAGGTGAGAGGGCAGCACTAACCCAGGAGGTGCTGGGGTGCTGGCTCTGAAGCAGGGCTCCTGCCCAGGGTGATTTCTGAGCTCTTTAAAAAGACCTCTACCCTGCCCTGGCGCCTCTGCCCCCGCCCCCAGCTAGCTATTCTGAGAAAGGAGGAAGGTGCAGGAGGGCCAGGAACTTGGCCCAGAGTCCTTTCAGACCTCAAGACAGAGTGGACCCTGTGTTCTTCCAAGTGTCCCCTTCCCCATCTCAGGCTCTCGCTGGACCCTTCTCATCCCTTGCTCTCAGTGCCAGAAGAAGCTGCTAGAGGCTGCATTCAGGCCCAGGTCCTCACCCAAAGGCAAAACAGTGGGGGTGGAGACCGGAACCGTTGTGCAGGACCCTTCAGCACAGGCCTCTGGATTTCCCTTCAGGGGTGGAAACCCCAACCCCCAGCTCCCAGACACCAGCTGCAGAAATCATTTGAGGAGAAGGGGAGAAGCAGCATTGCTCTTGCCCCTCCCAATGTGTGGCTTCAAGCAGCACTGAAGGGGCAGGTAGGGTGTGTTCCCTCCTGAGGAGGAAGAGACTAGGGAAGGGCCAGCCCAGGGCTGCGCAAATCGCCAACACCAACATCTGTGCATGTCCTCTCACTGCAGGGCCCTCTCCTTCCCCTACCTTCCTTCAGCCCCAGAACTTGACTCTGATGCACAGAATGAGGTCCCCCTGGATTTGGGTTGGGGACTAGGGGCTCCAGAGGGGCTCCACCTGAGAGCAGTCCCATCCGCCTTGCCTGCCAAGCTCTGGAGGGCCTTCTGACACAGCTGCACTGGAGAAACAGGGAGCTTTGGAGAAGGGAGGGAACAGCATCTAGGACAAGTGTGGGGACCTTGGCTCAAAGCTGGGGCAGCTCCACTGAGGAAACCTGCAAGTTCCCAGAATGGGGACGGGGAGATGCAGAGTCCTGTACTGTGGTACTGTGCACTAGATAGGCAGGGGTAAAGGGCTGAAAAGCAAGGGCTGATAGAGGTCTGCAGCTGATGGAGTGCCCATCACCCCCTTCCCAGGGACTGGCCAGAGTTCAGAGTGGCTGTCACTAGCCACCCCTCACTAACTCCAGCAGTGCCAGGTGGGGCAGCAGCAGCCAGAGTTTTATAGGAGCAGAGACACCAGCTGCGCCAGCTGCCTAATTCCTGCCTTCCCAGCAGCCAACAACCTACTCTTTCCAAAGCCAGGGGCTCCCGCTGGGGGTGAGGTAGTGCCCTGAAGAGGGACACGGTGGAAAAGGGAGTAATAACCCCTATCTCAGTATTGTGGCGCTGCCTCAGTCTTAGAGAGGAGGGGGAAGATGGGAACCTTCCCCTTGGACTGTGAGTTTGGATCCTTTGCTCCCTACAAGGGGGCTAGGACTGAAAACGGGCTGCTTGCTGCTGACTATAATGGATTAACTTTCTCTTATGATGTGAATTTTGGAGTTCCCAAGAAGGGATGGCTGTGAGGTTCTCCGCTGGGCAGTCTGGGGAAGCTGAGAAAGCAGGAACAAAGAAAGCTGAGGCCTTGCCTCATACACCTCTCCTGCCCTAGACTAGCAGCTCTGCCCAGATGGACATGAGGGCCCTGGGTTGGGGATGGACCTGTAGCCCGCTGGATCTGGGCTCAGGTCCTCAACCTGAACACTTGGTGCACATCAACTTCCCAACAGCCTGTAACCCACTCTAATCTTGGAGAGACAGCAATGAAAGCGATGCAAAAGGGGATTGGCAGTCAGGAAAGTCAGCCTCTAAGAGTTCACCGAGTGGAAGAGCATGGTGGTGCGAGGCTGTAATTCCAGCAGTTTGGAGGCTGAGGCAGGAGGATCATTGGGAGTTGGAGGTCAGCTTGGACCGCATAGTGAGACCCTATCTCAAAAAAAAAAGAAAAGGAAAGAAAAGAAAAAAACTGACCATCAAGGGGAAAAGAGGCTGAAATGTGGGGAAGAACATGGGGTCTTGCAATAGGAGCCACCAGCTCCAACGACCTGAGGGGTCTGCGGAAGGGCGGCTGACATGGAGCAAAGGGGAAAAAAGAGGAAAGGGGCAGAGATCCTGGAGGAGGGGGCACAGGTAGGGTAGGAAGATGTTAAGGTGCGACTGAAAGTCTGTGCCCTTCTGGCAGTGAGAAGGGGCAAAGCAGGGGTATGGTCCTCACCCTTGCAAGTCGAGCCGTCCCCCAGCCACTCGACAAAAATGGCCGCTGCAGGAGCCCGTTCAAAGCCCCTGCACACTGACGAACTGCAACAGAAGCTCCGCCCTGTTATGGGTGCCCTTCTCAAAAATGGCCGCCACAAGGTCTCTGGAAGGGAGCCTCTCTGGGCTCCGCCTTTGATCTCGTTGGTTGGGCGGGGGGGGGGGGCGGGAATGAGAGCTTCAGCGCGCGGGACAAATCGCCGGCGGTGCCCTACGGAGCAGGTGATTTCCCCTCCAGCCCCCAGCCCAGGGCTAGGAGTGTCGCAGAGAGGGTTGATAGGGGGTATCCGTTCTGTGTGTTCCCCACAGTACCCGCTCTCCAGAGCCCTATCTCTGATTCTCGCCGTGGCCTGTACCAAGGCACATTTCTTTGCTCAGGCCTGTCGCCCTGGGTCCCCTAGCTGCATCCCTGTGCCCTCGGGCTGATACCTTACGGGCTCCGCGGCCAGGTCAAGACAGTGTGCGCTGCCAGCCCTACTTCCTGTGCAACACCTCTTGTGCTGATGCTCCCGCTTGACTTTGGGTGGCAGGGTCCCATGTTCCTTGTGTTCCCCTCGTTGTCCTTGGGTGGTCTTGAGGGTAAGGAGAGAGTGGTATCTCATGAGGGCTTTGTAGGACCTAGATAGGACTCCTAGATAGGAGATGGGAAAAGCAGTGAAGACCTCGGTGCTTACCCCTTCCCCGACTGCCTCCCCCAGTTCCCCAGGACCTGTCTGTGCTCAGGCCCCTCTGCACACCTCCCCTCCCCAAGGGAGCAGCGGGGTACTGCTCTCCTGGATTTAACTTGCCCAGAGGTGTCTAATGCTCTCAGCTGTCTTCTGGCAGTGAGGATAGGGTCTGCTGGTCGCTGAAAGTTGCAGAATGGGGTTGGGAGAGAGGTGTGGAGCACCTTTAAGCATTGGGCGGGACTGGTATGAGCTAAGAAGATTCCATAGCAGGCCGGATGCCTGCAGGGAGGACCATGATACAGACCTGGCTGCACCACTGGCATCATGAGACGTAGTGTGGTGGTGAACTGGGGTGAGACTGCCTGGGTGTGATTTGGCCATTGACTTGCTTTGTGATCTTGGGCAAATTATTTAACCTCCCAGTTTCCTTTCAGGTGAAATGAGGGTGATATTAGTGCTCATATTTTAGGGTTATCATGAGGTATAGGTGAGTGAGCCCAGGTAAAGTGTTTTGAGTCATGTTTGGTAAACAATAATGACAGGATGATCATCATTTTTCATAGGCACCACCAAGGGATCCCTGATTTGGGGTTCCCAAGAAAGAATGAGGGTCTGTGGACTAGATCTGGAATTTGAAAACTCTCATCATGTCCTGTTTGGGGGGAGCCTTGCTATTTAGGTTGCATCTTAGAAAACCAGTTTAGAATTCCAAAATGTCCCTAAGTCAGGGAATATGGGGAGATAAATATTAGGAGGAGTTCTAGAATTAGGAAGCAGGAAGGACACGCTAAAAAGGCTGAGAGTAGGTGTGGAGATGAGGAACAGTAGAACCAGAGGCGTGGTAAACTTTGAAGCCTGGGCAGTCCAAGAGTAAAAGGAAGGAGGATGGATGGTGGCTTAGCAGACAAGTCAGCAAAGAAGCTCCGGGTACTCAGGGGACAGTGTGGGGTTTCCTGGTAATAATCCTCCAGCCCCCAGAACTTGGTAAAAAAAAAACCTTGAGAAGCATTGTGGCAGGTAGGGTGGCACATTTTTGTAATCCCAGTTATCCAGAAGGCCAGGGCCGACGGATTGCAAATTCTAAGACAGCCTGGTCAATTTATCAAGACACTGTATCAAAATAAAAACTAAAAAGGGCTGGGGATGTAGATCAGTGGTAGAGCGCCCTTGGTTTGATCCCTAATGCTAAACAAATGAAAAAAACAAGCAAATGAACAAAAAACAGAGACTGGAGACACACCTTCTGGAGGAACTTCTCTGGACACTGGGCTTTCCTCAGAGTTCCTGACCCACTCATGGCAGTCAGGGTGTGGGGGGGTCTCTGCAGGGGTGACTTCCTCAGGGGACCTGTGTGGTGAGATCTGGCACACAGGGACTGAACTGTTCTGTTCTCCCTGAGGCCCATGGCTAAGGCTTTGAAGTAGGAGGCAGGCATTTCCCTGGCGGGCTGGGCTTACTTAGTCCTGCTTTCCAGAGTGAACCCTGCCAGGCCCAGTGGGTAATCGCAGCACTTGGAGGCTGACAGAAGAATTCTAACAAGTTTGAGGCCAGCCTGGACTATACAGCAGACCCTGTCTCAAAAAATACACAAAGCGACTCCTTTGGTCTCCTAGCAATTCTGAGCAGGAAAACTGGCTGGGCAGCTGTGATGGTAGATGGCAGCTCTGACTCAGCCTACTTGGAGACCTTGATATCCTACAGCCCCGTCCCAGAGTGGTCCTCGGAATAGACACTGAAATGGCTGCTGCCTGGAACCCAGAACCTCTTACATGTGAGCCAGATGTTTCACCACTGAGCTGTTTCCTCAGCCCTGGGCTTGGTGCTAACTACCACCAAAGCATCTGGGCATCACCTTAATCTGTGAGGTGGGGAGTAACTAAACACCTACTTCTGGAGAATGCTGAATGTGCCCTGTTGAATAAACCAGGTGTGTAGTCCCTGTCTTCATGAGACAACTGGAAAAAACATTGAACATTATCCAGATAGTTCATTAATTATTGCTGTGAAAGATCTGCAAAGCAGTCTGCAATGGTGAGTGTGCGTGTGCATAAATGTGAAAGATACGCAGCAACCAGACGAATTCTAGAGGCACAGAGGCTTGAATGTTATGAACGGAAAGGGAGCAGCATAGAGGACAGTGATCCTGGGAGGTTTATGATGAGGATAGCCAGCACTCAGGAGGCTGAGGCCGGAGGAGCCTTGCAAGTTCAAAGTGAGTTCAAGATCAGCCTGTACTACATAGCAAGACTCTGTCTCCAAAAAGAAAGAAAGCAGAATCAAACAAACAAACAAAAAAATCATGAGGGTGGGGAGATATAGGCAGGGGAAAAGCTCTGGGCTTATCCGAAGGGTAGTGGGAACCAAGCACGGTGGCCTACATCTGTAATTCCAGCACTCTAGGAAGTGGAAGCAAGTTTGAGCCCAGCCAGGGCAACTGCATGGGTGTGGACCCTGGTGAGAACCTGTTGTTGTTGTCTGAGACAGAGTCTCATTAGGTAGTACAGGCTGGCCTGGAACTCGCGTGATCCTTTTGCTTCAGCTTCCCGAGCACTGGGATTACAGGCATGCACCGCCACTCGTGACTTCCCGATGAGATCTTGCAGAGCGAGGCTGATCATGAGGAGAGAGAGGCAGGAGCCTTGGAGTTGAAGAGGGCAGCAGGGAAAAAGGCAAAGAGGGGGCCAGGGAAGAAACCGCCACAGAAGTAGCGGAAACCTGGAGAATGTAACGGCTCCGCAGCCTGAGTTAGCTCTGTGGCAACACTGGAAACAGCTGTAACCATGAGGAAGTGCTCCCTCTTTTGGTGGCTGACAGGTAGTGCCCTCTTGGCCGTTCAGAAGGCTCAACCTTACTAGACCAAAACCTGAAAAAGTAACTGGTGACCTGCCCCGCCCCTGAGAAATGTTGGTAGAGATGTTGGACCAGAAGCCAGACCACAGAGAAAAATGGATAGAATGGAGAATAATAAGGAAGTGGGAGTCGGGCACACGCCTATAATCCCAGCATTTAGGAGGCTGAGGCAGGAGAACTGTTGCAAGTTGAAGCCCAGTTTGGACTACAGAGTGAAACCCTGGCTCATAAAGACAAAACAATTTTAAAAACTGAAGGGAATGGATGACAGGCGGTCGGTTAGGTGCAGGCCAGGTTTAGAGCAGGTGGTCAAGGGTAATCCAGGAGTTTCAGGTTGGGCCCCTGAGTGGGGCTGGGTGGCAGAGCAAGAGCTGTGGAGGAGATGTATATGGATGCCTTGGGGTGGGTGGAAATTGGGGTCTCCTGAGCCTTCCAAATGGTAAGATGAACTGACAGCTGAACCCATGGGTCTGGAGCCATTCCTTATTCCCTCTGACTCCCAAATACAGACTTTTGGGAGTCAAAATGTGAAATGGGGACGGAGTAAATTAACAAGCAAGCTGGGTGTGGTGGAGCGCGCATGTAATCCCAGCACCCTGGAGGCCGAGGCAGATGGGTCACTCTGAGTTCAAGGCCAGCTGGACTACATAGTGAGGTGCTGTCCCGGATGAATGAATGCATGTATGCGTGTCACAAGCGGTCACTGAGCACCTGCTAAGAGCACACATTTCCCTAGGCGCTGGGGTTCCACCAATAGCCAAGACAGTGTCCCTCTGCCCTTTCAGAGCTTGCCCTCAGGGGAAATGGACAGTAGGCAAATCACCAGGACACACTGTAGAGTGGTAGTGTGTGGAATGCCTGTTAGTGGTCGTTATGTCAGGGAAGTTCTCTCTGGGGAGGTAACACTTGCACACAGACCTGGAGATGTGAAAGCAATACCTGGGGTATCAGGAAAGCAGGCACATGGTTGGCAGTTCCAAGGGCTAGCTGGGAGCTGAGGGGGAAGACCGGAGAGCAAGAAGGACTGGAGGGGCTGGCAAGGGTGCGGTCTCCTGGGTCCTGTGGGCTGGGAAAGGAGGCTGGGAAGTCCTGACAGCCCCTAGCTGGAAGGGCAGGGACTGGTAGGAGGGGAGACTCCATGAAAGACTTCCCCTTCCATTTGGGCCCCAGAGCCAGAAAAGCCCCTTTGTGCAGAGGGTAGGTGGCCTGTCCTGGTGGGAGAAGGGCCATGCATAGTGGCCTTCTCCTTGGGGGGCTGGACAATGGGGTTCCTTGTGGTTGGACTTGAGGGCCAAGAGGCACCCTCAATGATAAGATTCCTCAGCCAGGAGGCATGTGACTCCAAGACCTGGCTCTTCGCCAGAGAGTCTGGGCCTGCTGCTAGAGAATGGGCTAGAGGATGAGGAGAGGCAGGGAAGGGGGAGGCCTTTTGCAGACAGTGCTCTATCCTGTCTTGGGCTGGGGGAAGTGGAGATGGGTGATGGAGGGGCTATGGCTCCATTGGAAGGCCCAACATCAACAGATGTTGTAGGGCAGGCAGGGAGGAGGAGTGGTCACCCCAGGCCTGGTGAGTGGGCAGGCAAAGAGAGCATAGCAGTTCTCCGGCTTGTGTCCCTTCAGGCGAGCAGCATACATGGAACTGGAGCGGACTGTCAGCGTGGCTCTCCTTGCCTTTGTGCAGGCACATCTCCCAGAGGCCGACGTTAGGTAAAGGACGGAGCCAGGACAGGGTCACTGCCGCCTGTGGTGCTCTGGGCCCTGGCTGATGGAAAGATGGCAGAAAGCACTCAGCCCTGTTCCTCCAGGGAGGGCTGGGATGGGTTCACCCAGTGGGCCTTCTGTGCCTTTGCTGGACAGGCGGGAAACCAAATCTGAGGGAAGGGGATCCTCCCTGGCTGCAAGGACTGAGGTCTGAATCATGGAGCCCCATGAGGTCTGGGGCTGGGCTCAGTGGAGATGCCAAGCTGGGGCTTGTCCTGTCTCCTTCCTGCAGTGGCCTGGATGAGGTCATCTTCTCCTATGTGCTTGGGGTCCTGGAGGACCTGGGCCCCTCTGGCCCCTCTGAGGAGAACTTTGACATGGAGGCGTTCACTGAGATGATGGAGGCATATGTGCCTGGCTTTGCCCACATCCCCAGGTGGGTTCTGGCCAGGATCAAAAGGAGGGGCTGCTAGGGGCCAGGGATTTAGCTCAGTGGCATAAGCACCTGCCTGGCAAATGTGGAGTCATGAGTTTGATCCCCAGGACCAAAAAAGACAAAAAGGGACTGCTTCCAGGGACTTTCACCACCTTCCTTGTCCTATCAGGGGCACAGTGGGGGACATGATGCAGAAGCTCTCAGGGCAGCTGAGTGACGCCAGGAACAAAGGTGAGTCTGAGGCTCTGGCACTTGGGAGATTCATATATACCTCCCCGAGTTCCAGCAAAACTGATGCTCTCTCTGCCTCTTTAAGAAAACTTGCAGCCACAAAGCTCTTGTGTCCAAGGTCAAGTACCCATCTGTCCAGATCCCCTGCATCAGCCTGAAAAGCTCAAAGAGGCCAGTTCTCCTGCTGTAGCTGGGGAGGCCCAAGACGAGGTAATGGTAAAGGTACCGAGAAGCAAGCTGGGGGGTTGGGAAGGAGGAAGTGCTGTCTCTCGTCAACTTTTGTGCTCACAGGCAGCTGCCACTGAGGAGTTGCTGCCAGGGGTGGATGTTCTCCTTGAGGTGTTCCCCACCTGCTCAGTGGAGCAAGCCCAGTGGGTGCTGGCCAAAGCTCGGGGAGACTTGGAAGCAGCAGTGCAGATGCTGGTAGAGGGGAAGGAGGAGGGGCCTCTGGCCTGGGAAGGCCCCAGTCAGGTATCCTCTTCAGCACCCCCCAACCAAGCCTCACCTCACTGCACCTTGATGTTAAGCCCCCACCCATATAGTCCCCATCTATTTCCGCTCTGGGTACCATCAGACCTAGACCAAGCCCCGCCCCTCTCCATAGGACATGCCCAGACGCCTTAGAGGTCCCAAAAAGGATGAGTTGAAGTCCTTCATCCTGCAAAAGTGAGTCTGGGCTGGGCTGGGCTGGGCCCTGGAGAGCCTTTCCAGGGTGGAGGAGTGTCATCTAGCTGGTTTTGGCAGGTACATGATGGTGGACAGTGCAGAGGACCAGAAGATTCACCGGCCCATGGCTCCCAGGGAGGTGAGAGGTGGGGTGAGCTGCGATGTGGAGTGGGAAGGGAGTGGCACCACGTTCCTACTGCTCACCACTTGGTTCCCCAACAGGCCCCCAAGAAGCTGATCCGCTACATCGACAACCAGGTAGTGAGCACCAAAGGGGAACGATTCAAAGATGTACGGAACCCTGAGGCTGAGGAGATGAAGGCCACATACATCAACCTCAAACCAGCAAGAAAATATCGCTTCCACTGATGTGTTCCCTGGACTCTGCCCAGGCCAGCTAGGCTCAGGCCCCCGAGGGGTGTGGGAGACCTACACCAGCTCCAGGGGTCTCCTTTCTCCCTGTCTCCTTTCTTCCTGGTCCAGTTCTCTACTTCCTTGCTCCGGGGTGTTAACCTACTCTTGGAGCTGTTCCCCAGGCACAATAAAGGTGGCCAAGAAAGGTGTGTGTGCATTCTTGCATTTTGGTCATTTCAGCCACAGGGATGGGATACAGTTCCTGTCCTAACATCACATCCTGTCTCTAACAGGGTAGCAATAGCAAAAGAGGACAAAGAGATCTTTATTTGAGGTTCCTGGGTGGGGCAGGGCACAGGCCCCTACCTCCCTACAGTCAGATTGCCCTGCAGTTCTATGCCGGGCCCCACCACACAGTTCGGCTGGCTCCCCTGACAGAAAATTAGACCTGCAGGTTGACAAAGGGTGCGAAGCCCGCCATGTCCTGCAGGAGCACCAGGGCCTGGTGCAGCGGTGGCTCCACATCGATGTCCACTCCTCGTTTCCGCAAGCGGCTCAGACTGGGCTCAGCCACGTGGTGGCAGTGCCGCACCCGCAGAGAGCGAAGCATGGGGCAATACTCGGCCAGCGTCCTGTGGGAGGAGGGGTAAGGGTTGGAGCCAGGGGCTCCCACTCCCTCCGCTGGACCCCTGCCCTTCACCTCCGCTGGCTCCAGCAAATCCCAGGTCTCTCAGTTTAGGGCTTACTTTAGACGCGGGGGAAAGGATCTACATGGGGGGCAAGTGCTGCAGGGATCCGGGGCTTTCCGGATCAGTAAGGAAATCTGGCCCTCGGTGCATCCAGATTAGAGAGTCCCCCTTGTTGAAGAGAGGCCAGACCTACTGAAATCTTGCAGTGTGTGCACACTGGTGCAGTTTCTGTGTGTGGGCTGTCCAGCCCGGATAACCCTAGCTGCCTGTCTAATGCAGAGGGGGCTCTTTGCTAACTGCAGCCCACCCGCTCCGTCGCCCAGGCCCGGGCACCTGATGCCGTCGCTTCCGACACGGAGGCAGCCGGTGAGGTCGAGGTGCTCGAGGCGAGGGCAGTTCCGGGCCAGCTCCTGGACCGAGGTGTCACCCACGTTGGCGTTGACCGCCAGTGAGAGGCTGCGGAGGCCGCCACCGCGCCGCCGCGCCAGATACACAATGGCCTCATCCTTGAGCTGGCGGCAGGCGGTAAGGTCCAGCTCCTCCAGCGCCGGGCAGCGGTCCGCGAGGCCGCGCAGCGCCAGCCCGTCCACCCAGTCGCAGTGCGCGAGCGACAGGCGCCGCAGGCGGGGGCAGCCCTCGGCCAGCGCGCCCAGCGCGCGGCGGCTCAGCTGCCCGCAGCCCGCCAGCGCCACGCTCCGCAGTTGCGGGTTCCGCGCCAGCACCGGCAGCAGGTCTGCGTCCGACAGCCACTCGTGACACTGCGCTAGCGCCAGCGCCTGCAGCCCCTCAGCGTCGCGCAGCAGCCGGGCCAGGGCGGCGCGCGGGATGTGCGGCCCCACCTGCGACGCGGGCGCCGGCTTCAGCGCTCCTGCAGCAGCCGTAGCCCCTGCCCGACACCTGCGCACCCTTGAGTCTCCGCCCCCGGCGCGACCCCCGGACACCTCCCCCCCGAGCGGCTGGGACAGGATCGCCAGGGGCTCTGCTCACCTGCGCGGCGTCGAAGCGGCGCAGCCCCGCCAAGTGCAGCTGCACGAGCGCCCGGAAGGCCCGGCTGACGCGCTGCAGCCGGAGCAGCTGGCGCAAGGGCACCCGGCTCAGGACGTGAGGAAGCAGCACGTCTTCCCAGGGCAGGTCCAGTAGCCTGCGAGTACAGGGGAATCGGCGTCCCTGTGCCGCTGTTACCTGCAAGTCCGCCTCCGCTGGGAACCCGGGCTAGTAAGGGCGGCCCCGAGCCCTGGGCCCTGGGCCCGGCTCCGGCTCCCTTCCCCTCCCCCGGGTCTCTTCCCCACTCGGACCCTCCAGCACTCGGTACCTCACGCCTGCAGGTTCTCGCTCCACTCCGGACGGCTCCATGGGTGACTCCGTCACTAAAGCGCGTGCGTAGTAAGACCTCCCTTTGGCCTTGGAGTCGCTGCGGGGAACCGCCTACAGGAGCTGTGGAGACAGACCGGTTCAATCGAGTGCAGTCTCGCTGAGGAACTTCTCGGAAGGCTTTCCGGATGGGCCCGAAGCTGAGGCAGAACGCACCCGTGGTGTAACTTTAGACCTTGCCTTTTGGCTGCGGGGCTTGAAGCCCGCTTTTCTGTCTTGGTCCTGGCTGCAGCGGCTGCCTCGGCGTGAAGTGGTGGGAGGAGCGGGGCAGGTTGGAGGCAAAGGGGCGGAGCCAGAGCCCCAGTTTACCGAAGCAACCCCCACCCCCGTCTTCATCGACTTGGAAACATAGGGGGAGACTATCAGGCTCTTACTCTCGGGCCCGCGGCAAGCGCTCAGTAAGTAACTTCCTGGGCTGGAAGGGTAGTTCAGTGTTCAGGTTTTGCACTTGCCAAGCGTGAGCAAGGTCCTGAGTTCAATCCCCAGCACCACCAAGATAATGATCTCTGAAAGAACAAATAAATGGAATAACCTCGAATTTTCCTTTTCGTCAGGCAAACTTTATCAAACGTCCCATCCGTAGATAGTTGAGAAATACAGATCTAGTCTTCTTTTTCCATTTCGGGACAGTGCGGGCGGGGTTTTGTCTGGGGAGAAAGAAGGACTACATTCGGCGGATGCTTTCCTAGAAGGTACAATGCTCGCTCAGCCCACAGGAACCGTGCTTCTCGGATGGCCCTGGGTTACTGAAGGGTGAGGCTGGACCCGCCGTGGGGCCACGGAGCTTCCCTCTCACTGTGTCCTCAGGTCCTAGGCCCAGGTTCCACTCTGGGGAATCCCTGGAGTTGCTCTTCGCTCCATCCACGGGCTGGGGACGTGAAGGACGCCGGGCTATTGCCATCGGTCAGGGTCGCGCGCTCCTTCCTTGCAGCTGCTTCAGCAGCCGGTTCACTCCATTCCCAGCCGTGATCTCCTCGGGGCTTCGACATCTCTACAAGGTGGGCAGGTCTATGCTTTCACTCCATGTTGAATATGGGAAACCGAGGCCCTGAAGAGGAAGCGCTTTGACCAGGATCAAACCAGACTGGGATGGAGGACCCAAACATCCTGGTTTTCCCAGAATCCCCTTCACGCTCCCTCACTCCCTAATGCAGCAATAAGGGAAAAGCCGGCAGCAGAAGCCCAGAGGGGGTCTAGTTGGATGGGGGCCTCGCTTCCTCTTGGTCCGCAGGCTCTCAGGGAAGAGTCTGCGAGGACTGACCTCTGCAAAGATAAACAGATGTGGGCCCGCGCCTCCTCCCCCGCCCCCTTTGTTCACACCTCTGCGCCTGCGCAGTACGACCAATCTGGCGCTGTCCCCTTCAGCACCACGCGGAGCCCGCGCCACCCTTCCCCGTGGTGAGCCCCGCGCGCCCCCACCTCGCACTTCTGCGCGACCCCTGACCGCCAGAGCAGACCCCTGCTTCCTTCCGAGGTCATCACCGACCCGCCCCAGCTCTCCTTAGGAGAGTAGTTGCCATAGTAACCCGTGTGTCCCTTTCTTGAAAAACCAGACCCCTTTCTACCCTGGTCAAGGAACTAGGGCGACCTGCCCTCCGTATCCTTCAGTGTCTCGGGTCCTCAGGCCTGAGTTCTCACTGCTGGAGGGCAGGACAGCACGCAAGTTCTTCAAGTCCGGCTTACTCCTCCTAACTTACTCCCGGGTGGGTGATCGGGACTGGGTCTCTTGGGCCTGAGACGCAGAGCCCCCGAGGGTTAGAGACTGGGTCCCTTTGATGTCCCTTCTGGATCTAGGGGGTGGGTCCGGTCTACCCCGTACCGCGCGCCTAGCGCGGCCGCGTGCTCGTGGGGGCGGGAGCGTGTGTGGCATGTAACAGGTCATGTGGCAGCCTCCTAGGGACACGCGTGGGGCCTGGGACACGCGTGTGCAGCAGGCCCTGCGTGTGGCTCAAGAGGCGGTGGGCGAGAGGGACGTGAACGGGAGTGCGGCGGGAATGTAAGGGTCTGGAAGCAGAAGTCAGGCTTCCCTGCCCTCCCCCTCGTCTGGGGAGGGTTCTAGGTTGGCGGGAGCGCCCATTGGGGATTTAGCGAAGTAGGGGGTTGGCAGCCTTTGGGGCTCAGGGCCCCAGGAGCGGAGGGAGGTGGGAGATTAGCGTTGCCGGAGCTGCGCCCGGGGTGGGGGTGTTGGAGGAGGGACCGTGAGGCAGGCGGGCCTGGAGCAGCGGGAGCTGCGCGCCTGCACAGCTGAGCTGGGCCCGGCCTCCCCTCTGCTTCTCCTCGGACCCAGCTCCAGAAGAGCCGCGGTGAGTACCGAGGTGGCTCTGGGTAGGGGCTGCAGAGGGCATGCAGGGATCCCTGTAGAGACTGAAGAACCTGTCCCCCGCTCCCCCTCCTGCCCCGTTGCCTTGCTGCTCCTGTCTTGGGTCTCTGCCCTTCCCTGTTATCCCTTTAAGGTCCCTCCTGGGCTGGGCAAGACGTGTCATATTCCTTGGGGGAGGAGAAGGTGGCGGTGCAGCCTCACCCCAGACCTAGCCATGAACACCGTCGTGGGGGAGGGGAGAGTGTGTGCCCTGCTCGTGTATGTGTGTAAACGTGCATCCGTGTTTGTGTGATTGTGACCAGGTCTGTCTGATACACCTGTGCCTCTGTGTGCACAGGAGTGAATGGGCGCCTGTGTATGATTTGGGTGCCTCTTTGTGTGTTCCTGTTTGATGACGGTGTGTAAAACAAGCATGTGCCTTTCCATTATACACGTATCTGTTATGACTGTGAGAGTGACGAGGGTGTGTCTTTAAGCAGTATTGTGTGTGTCCATGCTTACCGGAGGGTGTTGCCTATGAATGTGTCTGTGCATTGCTGCTTGTGTCCTTAGGTGTACATGCGTGCTGTGCATGTGTGTACATGGGTGCATGTGTCTGTTCATGTGTGTCTGTACCTGCATGAGAAGGACAAATCCCTTTCTGATTCAGTATCTGGGCATCAGGGCAGGAAGCCGTGCCCAGGCCCCCCTGCCCACCTCCACCCTAGTCTCAGCCTTTCAGCGTCCCTGTATGACCCCTGTGGTTTCTCCTCCTTCCTGAGCCCTGGGTTTGCCCTCCCCGAGGGGCCCCCATAAGAGGGACTAGGAGGGACCTGGGCTCTAAGATGATGCCTGACTGACACCCCTGTTCAGAGCTGGGGTAGCAGCCTTCCCTACCCCAGAGAGAGCCCTAAACTGCCCAGGGGCTTGGCTCCATTAACTGCTGACCAGCTTCCTCCCTTCCTAGGGTGTTGCTCAGGGCCCCAGGAAGGAGAGGGCCCGGAGCTCTGGGCTGGGCCATCCCCCTTCTCAGCCACCAAGGATAGGATCAGTGCCCCTTATCCCCAGGGTAGGGTAGGTCCCCAGAGTCCCTCCCTGCTTCTACTCCTGCACACTTCATGCCCTGCTCTCCCCTCTCTTGCAGGCCTGTCTGAAGAGCATGCAGCCCCTTCACTCCCCACCTGGCTTCACTATCCCCGCCCCCCCAGCCTGACCCCCGGCCCCAGCATGGCCCAGGGTGCCATGCGCTTCTGCTCAGAAGGCGACTGTGCCATCTCCCCACCGCGATGCCCCCGTCGCTGGCTCCCCGAAGGCCCGGTGCCCCAGAGCCCCCCAGCCAGCATGTATGGCAGCACAGGCTCCCTGCTACGGCGGGTGGCGGGCCCAGGGGCCCGAGGCCGGGACTTGGGACGTGTGACAGCACCCTGTACACCTCTGCGTGGTCCTCCCTCTCCTCGTATGGCTCCCCCGGCCTGGGCACCCTCTTCACCCCCTGGGCAGCCCCCACCAGGGACCCAGAGCTCCGTGGTCATCTTCCGCTTTGTGGAGAAGGCCAGCGTGAGGCCACTGAATGGGCTACCTGCATCTGGAGGCTTGAGTCGGAGCTGGGACCTGGGAGGGGTGTCTTCTTCCAGGCCCACCCCAGCCCTTGGGCCTGTCTCCAACCGAAAGTTTCGACTGGAGGCATCCACCTCGGACCCACTTCCAGCTGGGGGAGGCTGTACCCTTCCTGGCAGCTGGAACACTCTCCCTGGGCCACCAGTCCCACCCCAGGTGGGGGCAGATGGCCTTTACTCTTCTCTGCCCAATGGGCTGGGAGGCCCTCCTGAGCATCTGGCCACACTATTCCGAGGACCTGCTGACCCTGAGTTCCTGAACCAGGTATGGCACCTGCTGCGGGCTCCTTGAGCCTCTGTCAGACTTGGCCCCTCTGTTACTCATTCTGAATCCTTTGATATCCTAACTCCCTCTCTCTCTTGTCCTCTGTGTGTGTTCCTGTGTGTTCTTATTTCTACTTCTGCCCGGTATTCTCATGTCTTTGTATGTCTGGGTTTATCTCTGGGTGCCTGTATATCTGTGGCTCAGGGGGACACCTGGTCCTCCCCCCGGGAAGTCTCCTCTCATGCCCAGAGAATTGCTCGAGCCAAGTGGGAATTCTTCTATGGCTCCTTGGATCCCCCCAGCTCAGGTAAGGCCCAGGAGGAAGGCCAGGGAGCAGGCAGGGCTCCTCACAGTAGCTGAGGACTGGTCAGCTTCCTTTGAGCCTTTCTCAGTACTTCCCTGGGTCAAAGTCAAACCTCCTCCAAGCTTTGCTCTTCCCATCTGTCATGCTGGGGGGCTGGACAGGGCCTGTGCTGGGCACCTGGAGAAGCTGGGTCATGAAGGGCAGGAATGGCAGGACATTACAGGTCACTCCTTCGACTAGGAAACATGTGAGAGTACCAGGGATTGAACTCATAACCTCATATTTGCCAGGCAGGTGCTTGTGCTGCTGAGCTAAATCCCTGGCCCCCAAGTCTGTTTTTACCAATAAAGTTTTATTGGAACATTAAAAAAGAAAAGAAAAAACACAGGCTAGTCCCCTTCAGGCTTCTCAAAGCTGTTGAATAGGAACTTTGTTTGCAAGGAGCTCCATGGTCACCTACTGCAGGAAGAGTGGTAGCTAGACATGGGAAGACTTCCTGTCCCCAAGAGGTCGTGGGGGAGCCACGACACGTAACCTCCTAACCTGGATACCTGTGCATGCCCACTGCAGGTGCTAAGC